TTAAATCCATTTTCAGTCCACTCAATCTAACATTTTCCCATTTTCTCCTCTGCCTTTTCAAATTCTTTCTATCAATTATCTTCTTCCTTCTCTTTCTCCCTCACGACAGACAGTCCTCCATTAATCTCTACATTCATGCTGATCTTCTTCTCGCCTTATTGCTCTTAGGGTCATGTGTGCAAACTCTATGTGTGTACTGCTGATTATACAGGATGATAAAGCACATCTTGTCCATGAGGTTGTCACCAGGGCATTGTTCAACCTGCAGCCATCTCGGCAGTGCTGCATAAAGTAGTAGTGTGTCTGCTTCTGTGTGTATATATTGAGCTGAGCCAAATGCTACTGAGTAGCCATCAGATCCAGGTTGAGCAGGCAGAGGGGACAGACAGTGGCTGTCATCCCTCAATAGGCTGACACTAAATGGCTAAATCAGTTTAAAGCTACTGTAACTAAACCCAGTGGAGACAGCAGGAAAACTCACAGCGAGCAGAGGGAAGGAGGAGGGAGGAAGGGAAGGACACTGGGAGGAATGACAGTAATCCCCTTCATTGTTAGCAAGACTGAAAAGCACTGATCCTCTCATTCTTTGCAAAACAAAAAATGAGAGGATCTCTCTCTCTCTCACTCACACACACACACACACACACACACACACACACACACACACACACACACACACACACACACAAAACAGCAAAATACACAAATACATGCTTACTCAAAATACTCTTCATCCATATCACCCTCTTAAACCCAAGTTTTACTGTGCTTATAATTACATTTCATACATTTATTCATCACTATTACCAACATCACAAATAGCATGTCCTTGAAGCGAGACTTTGTAACTTTTAAAAGAGGAAATAAGTCAATCCTCCAGTCCTTTTCAAGGGAGAAACTGAATTCATAAGCAATAAAAGACATATTTTCTCTGTTCAGTACACTCCAGGGTTTTGTTGCTGGTCATATTTGACCTGTAAGCTAGCTTATAGTGGCTAATGTTACTAAATTTTAGTAGCTGTGTATTTAACATTACTGGGTCAGTTCACTGACTTAATGAATCTTCTGCACTTCTGCTCTAGTTACAGTTGCTGTCTGAAAAGGGATTTTTATGGAGGATTTATTTGGTCTCTGTGCATTCGGTGGAGAGACTGGTCTACAGTTTACCAAATGAAGAGAAATGTGACTCCTTGTTACTCATAATTTTTAATTATGTGTACTTAGCCTAGTTGCTAAGTTATCCTCAATCCAGCAGCTTGACTGTGAGGATGGGACTTTTGTTCTGTGTACAGTCAGCAGGGCTAAGCTAGCTGTTCATGGCCAGTAAATATATCCAATAGAACTGGCTGCTTGTAAAACCACAATGTCTCCTTTTCTATTTCTACACGTTACAGGTAGCAATTTAGCAAGTTAATGACTAATGTAAGAAATTACTGTTGCTGTTGAGTGATCATATTATGATGATGATATTATGAACTTCCATGACATGTGGTCACAGATGAACATTTTAATGGTTTTATCACAAACATAAACAGACCACGCCTGGATTGTTTGCTTGTTGCAGGTCATCAGGCCACCAAGTAAATCCCAAGAAAATCTCCAGGAAACTCACAGGAAATTAAATTGAGCATCCCAGCAAACACTTTTCAGTTCGGGGAACATTCTGTGAACATTGCCCGAAGGGTGCGGGAAAGTTAGCTGGAACCTCGTAGCGAACATTCCCCTACAGTTATTCAGAAAAGTTTTCTTAAGACACTTTCTTTAAAGGTTGCAAAAAAAAAAAAAAAAGAAGTAAGCTTCAGGGAATGTTCCCTGGAGGTTTTCCTAGGTGGATATGTATCTGAAACAGCAAATGTTTGAAGGTTTCATTTCAGGTTTTACAGTGTGAAGCCCCTAAAGATGCTAACATGTATCCTTCACCTCCATCACATCAGCAGGGGATGACATTGACACTGTTATTTATGTTCTCCATAAATTCCCCCTATCCACCCGTACTCTTACACTGTTCTCTATGGTGCTTTGTATTCTGAGCACAGATCGATTTCACCAGGTCACATTGATGAGAGCCTTCTAATTTCCTAATGGAAAACCAGCAGGGCAGGGCTTGTCCGTAAGAACAATGGCTCTGATAGGCCCATAAGCAGAGAGCCTGGGTAGATGCATGGTGTTGGCCAAAATTGTCACAAAGTGGTACAAGCTTAATGTTAGAGAGACGTGGAGAATAAAACTGCCTGTTTTTTAGAGGAATTCTTTCATCTCATCTCTTGATTAATTTTTAGCTTTGATATATGAATTTTCAAATAGCCAATTATGATTATAAGTGCTATTGATAAAAACCATCCTACTAACTGTTACTGATCTATGGCACAAAGCCGCACAGCAATTTGCTGATGATTGATGGCTTCATTTCATCTCATTTCGAAACATGAAAGCGGGTAGAGAGAGTGCTGCATCATGAAGTCGGCAGCGAGCCCATCCTTTAAGCAGTTATCGATGCAAAACATGAGCTTCCTCGATTTTTCTGTTCTGTCACAACAAATCATCGGATCAATCAATGTGCGGGGAAATTTACATAGCACTGTTTATATCAAAGAAATTAAACTTTGTGCAAGCTGGGAATCAGTTTAGAGTCATCGTCTAGGAAGTGTAAGAAAATACACAGCTGAATTACATCAAAAGCAATCTGATTTCTGATAAGACTCTGGTTTGGTGTATGACAATTTTAGAGATGATGTTCAATGGTGAGGAAGTGTTTCAGCTCCCTTATCATATGGCCAGAAACATTTTCTTACCCCCATGTAACAGTGTTTATCTTAAAAAGCATAAAAAATAACAGTGATATCACTTAAGAAATCCCGAAACAGCATTCCTGTAAATTGCCTATCGCAAATATGGGAATAAATACACACAGAATATAGGAGTGTGATTGGTTTTCTTGGGGGTTTTTTTCATTATAAATTCTACACAGCTGGAACAAAAGAAAAAGATACATCAACACACCACAGAGGTCACAACAGTGTAGCACAAAATATACAGTATACAGTACAGAGAGAAGTAAAGCACTGAGACTGAGAATATCTCATAAAAAAAGACACCTAAATTAAAAATATCTCTCTTCTCTCACCAAATGGAAAATCATGGGAAAATGAAAACTCAGTAGTTGCAAAATTAAGAATCCCCTTTCTAAAAAAAAAAAACAACAACCTGTATACCACAATATATTTTATATAAAACATTAAAATAAAAAATAAAAAACAATGCTCCAAGTTCACTTTTCTATCTTCGCCTGCCATCACAGGTTTGCTAACAGTCAAATCATAATTATGGCAAGATCAGTAGACAATCATTGAAGAATAAAAATGAGCCTTGTGGATGCCGATAGTGGTTTGAGGTGACCTTTTTTTAAGTAAAGAAATCAAGGCCATGGGTTCCAGTGTACAACAACGTAAAAGGGCACTTCAACCCGCTATCAAACCTCTCTGGTCTGCCGACAGTGTAGGGAAGAAACAGCAATGCCAGTATTGCAAACCTGAAACACTCCTGATGTGACACTCAAAAACTCTTTCATTTGGTAAAAATAAAAAGGTACATCACATACTCCAACAATAATCCCGATCCCTCCCACACCTTCCCTTCCCTTCCCAGCTTGTATCAAACTAGAGTGAACCTGTGCCTGTGATTTCCCCCTAACAGGTGAATCTGTGACTACTGCACCGTAGCCCCTGAAAGTTCAATTTTGTTATCATGTGAAAACAACAACACAGCAGGCCACAGTTTGAGACTGTCGCCCATTTCACCAGATTCCACAGATTTTACAGTGAAAGTTGATGATAATTGAGCTTTTCTGAGTGGAACTGCTGCGTGCTGTGCCTGTGAGAGTGGTTTCATCACAGAGCGGAGGACTGAAAGGCTGTGAAAGACTTGGGAAGAAATGATAGCAATTACAGTCCCAGGCCAGCAGCTTAGAAACCATAGACATTTAGAGCTCCACATCATGCACAGTGTACCTCCTGCTTGATAGACAGGGTAATCAGTGTTTGAATTTACAACGAAAACAGGAGAGCAAAAGAAAACAAGTGAACATTTGGTAAACTAACATAATATACAAGTATGCTGGAAATGGCAAGAACAAATTTGTACAACCTAATAGCTTGCTTGTTCAGTGGCTTTTTAGCTGGATTTAAAATGGCAAGCAATTGTAGAGAAAGGATTGACGTTATTAATGCCTTGGCTGTTTCTACTGAAAGCTAATTAGGGATATTGGGAGGAAAAAAAAAACATTCACAGGTGGCAAAAATGTAATTAAACAAACAGCACTAAAGCAAACACAGAGCGTCTTTGAGCAGAAATGTTACAGCCATGTGTACTAAACAGTGTGTTGGGGATAAAATGTGAGCATAAATCATCACTTGTTACTGAGGTGAATAAAACAGAATGACAGCTTGTGATAATTATGCCCAATGTACCCAGCAGAGAATTTTAAGTGTAGACTCCAAGACAGAATAGACGTTCAGTGTTACACTTGCAGGCGAATGCACAACCCCCCCCCCCCCGAAAAACCCCCCCCCGAAAAAAAACACAGTGGCTTAATGGCATTTTGTGTTTCATTCGGGGTAGATAAGAAAGATTCTGCCACTGTGTTTGGACTGTGTCAGTCACGCCTCACTTCTCAGCTCTACTCTGCAGTGGAGTCAACCAAAGACATGATTGGTGAATAAGCAGTTAAAAGAAGCCATGATAATAATGTCATCCAGTGATTATGAGTCCCATTAAGATTTTGCACATGTATGGTTTTTAACCTGTGGGTAGCACAGATGGATGGAGCTGAAGCAACTCAATCTTTAAAAAAAAAAAAAAAAAAAGGAAGGAAAAAAAAAAACTCCACCCAACTGGTGTACTCCAGGTTATAAAACAAGCATAACCAATGCCAAACACGGTGTGCCACCCAATGTCCCATTTCCATGCTCCACCTCTTGTTGCCCCCCCCCCCCCCCCCCCCCCCCCCCCCCCATCGCTCCTCTAGTGTAGTAAATAAAAATTAGCCCTGTTGTCTTCATATCAGTCGTCCTCCTTCCCTTCATCTCTGTCGTTTGCTTCCCTCGACTCTGTTCATCACTGTCAAAGAGAAAAATACAAAAATAACAATAAAAACATCGCCCATGTGCAATCATCCACTTTTTTTTCTGATGATGAGAAAATGCTGTATTTATGACTCCAGTATTTTTCTTTTGAACAACTTGTTAAAGAAAATATGCCCAAAAACAAACAAAATGAAGAATATTCTTTAATTTCATAAATAAATATTCCCTCTACATATTCATTCACACCGTTTTTTGTCAAGTGCTCATTCATTGTATGTAAACTTTTGGTTTTAGATTACGGCAACATAAGAACAATGACGGTAACATATAAGTAAATAATATCATATATAACACTGTATAAAGTGATCAGAGTTGCTGTTTGTATGCATAGTGTTTTCCTCATTAAACACATAAATTACTCATTCACAGCTGGTGGCCATGAGATGTACGTGACAATCTAATTTGATGTCAACCAACCCTGTGCTTATACACATCATATGATGGTGAATTCATGTTACACATTGTTATATTTTACTTCATATCTCACAATATATCCAAGATTACTACATTTGGGTATTTTATGTGACAGTTGAGAGCTAACAGGGAACGAGGGGAGACAGAACATTCTTGGAAAAGAATAAATGTCGTTAGTACGAGTTAAGATTTACTGTTATTTTAGAATAACATTAAATCTGTCTGCGGCATGGCTGCCGCCGTATTAGAAGACAGCTTAAGGGGTGATTTTTTTTTTCTTTTTTAATGGCGTCTCGAGGAAGAAACACGACTTGATAGCATTTGGACAAACAGGCTTTACACATCTTCTTGTTATATCCATTTCAAAAGCAAAGCAAAATGTGTCTGCAATCTCCCTGCAATGCTGAAATGTCACCCAGTTTTCTGTCAGCAGTTTCAAAAAAATCACATAAAACAAGGCTCGCTTAAACTGGCTTTCACATTCACGTCAAATATGCCACTACCATAAATTTCATGATGAAATGTTTTACATTTGTGATGACATTCTCAGATGACTGCGTGCAGCTGTCACCCTCCATCATCTGAGCTGCAGGGACAGTTTTCTCAAACCTGCGCTCTTTGAACTAAAACTGACTTAAGACACTCAGTCAGCCTGACTGATGCGCCTGAAGATATTTCTGCTGACTGTAAAGCTTGTGTTCATGTCAAGCTGACTGCAATCTTTAGATAAGTTTATGTCTACATGATCGTTCTCAGCATTGTGGTGCAATAAATCCAAAGGGGATCATCTTATTACACCGTTCAGTTGCTATTGAAAGCTTGTATGCCTCCAAATAATCTGAATGTATTTTGTTTAACTACATGAACTGGTCATGTTATTGTTAACCAGCTTATTCCCTACTAGATAAAGTAAAAACACGATAACATGTTTTACAAAGTTTCTTTTTGTCTTTCTTTTTTATAAGAGAAACCAGTATAAATCATGAGTGGCTTTGTTTTCATCCACTGCGCTGTCTTAAACAGCTGAAGTGTCCTTGACCTGACCCTGCATACCAGCAGCCTGTATCGTTGTGAGTCACACTCATTAATGCAGAAAAAGCTACACCACCTTAAATTCTTGGAAGGAAAAATGCACAAGTTAGCTCTCAGTTTGCCCTATGATGATCATTTGCTAGAGCTCACTGTTAAAAACACTGCTGCCAAAATTCTGGCACGTGACCCACGAGCCCTTAGTCCCATCATGTGTCCATTGGCCTGACCTGTTCTGTGGACGGTCTCTTGTTGAGGAGACCGGCCTCTTCATTGGCCTTGTCTGTCTTCATCTCCACTACAATGTCGTTGTTCACCTCTCCGCTGGCCCTGCAGAGAGAGTGGAAAAAAAACAAATGCAAAAGAGTCAGTGGGCTGTGTTGAGCAGTATTTCGACTGCACAGCTAATGGATCTAGATATGACTGAAGCTTGCTGACAACTGGTTTGACCTCTACACAGAGTTCCTGATATAACAAATAATACTGGGCTGCTTCACACAGCATGCACTTTAAAATTTTGTTCACTTCTCCCAATTTGTCTGCAATGAATACTCTATTTTTTAAGGTTTCCTTATGCTTTGTTCTTTTTTTAAACTCACTCTTAATTGTGTCAATTGTGCCTCTAACTTCTAATTGCATTGGTTTTATCTATCCATTCATTTACCGAATCACTATATGCTTTTATTTTATGTGATATTTTTCTCTTTATTACATTTGTAGTAGTAGAAAGCAATATAGAGTTTGGGTTATGGTTTTATTTCACTGTCTTAATTGTAGAGCCCCAAATAACTCTACTTCAAAAGAGTTTTTGTTTCTTTCCTTTTCAGTTTCAAAGAGCACTGGGACAAAAAGCCCTACAATAAAGTTTGATTTTAGTTGTAATGGAATCACATGAATCACATGATTCACACATGAATCAGACCCCCCCCTCCCCCTCTCTACTCACACTTCCTTCTTGCCCTTCTTGCTGCAGGGCAGCTTGCTCTTCTTGTTCAGGAAGTAGATGAGGGCCACCAGCAGCAGGAGCAGCAGAACACACACCACCACGGCTATCACCACCCCGCTGGAGCCTCCCTGCTGTTTGTCAGCTACAGCGCCGCAATGGAGGTACACATGGAGGGAGGGATGAAGGGGCAGATGGTGGGGTGGAGGGTTGGTGGGACAGTGGAGGGGGGACAGAGGTGGGAGGGAGGTGTGGAGGGGAAGCGAGGGATCGATCACAGTGGAGGAGGTGGGAAGAGGGTGGAGGGAAAGGGAAAAGGGGTGTTTTTGATTTTGACGGGGCAGTGGTAGGGAGAGGGGCATCGTGGTAGGTGTAGGGAGATGGGGTGTTTGATTTGTGGGATAGAAAAGAAGGAGGAAGAGGAAGGAAAATGATTTGATTTGGGGTATCATTGGAAGGAGAGATGAGGTGACAGGAGGATGGCGAGATGGAGAGGACGGGGAAGGGGATGGGTGGGTTCCAGGTGAAGACAATGGATGGATGGATTGATGGATGGGTGGAAAAGAAAAGGAGCGGGGGAGGGGAGTGGGATGAAGGATTAGTCTAACTTTTGAATGCAATGTTCTTGAAATGTGATGGGACCCAAAAACAGGGCCTGTATACTCAGATAATATCAGACAGCTGACCAGAGCCAGAAAACAACACTGAACATACTCACCCATCCACCTACTCTTGTATTATTATACTTGTGAGGACATGACTCTGAAATGGTTTTCTCAAAATTGATGTTGGTCTACATAAACTGTAACATCACTATAAATTTAACAAGCGTTTTAAAGGCCAATATTGATATAAATTTATACTATGGCCATTAAGAATACTTATTTTGTAACTGGATGGCTAGCGTCTTTAAAAGAACAGTTTGACATTTTGGGAAATATGCTTAGTTGGTTTTTTGCCGAGAGCTGTTTGAGAGGATTTATACTTCCCTCATATTTATTATGAAGCTGGAGCCAGGAGAAGGTTAGCTTAGTTTAGCTGAAAGACTGGAAACAAGGCGAAACAGATAGCCAGGGTATGTCCACACACCAGAACCTTTAAAGTTCATTATTAACATATTATATCTAATTTGTTTAATAGTTTCACGGGGTGTTATGTGATGGACTTATTATTGGATGGGAGGAGTGACTTCCTGGAGTCTCAGGAGGTTGCCTGGCAACCTCACAGTGATGAAAAGGAAAATGTAAAACTATACTTTTAAAATTGTACAACAGACACAGTTCTGGTAAACAGTGAAATCATCCGAAACCATTCAAGCTGTAACTAATAGTAACCACAGCAGGAGTTGATGGTTAAACTGACTTCACTATAACTTAATTTAACTGCAAACAAATTTTTAAAATGGTTTTAAATTTGAAAACAACTTCTCATCGGGACTGTGATAAGTGTCTTAGAACCAGATGGAGAAAAGGTTCCACCTTGTCCATTATATCAGGATGCCAGAAACATTTCCACCAAAAGGTTTCTTTTCAGGTCAGCCATTGTGGGGGACATTTGACTAATTTTTTAACAAAAATGATGAAATTATTTTAGTTCTAGCAAATCATCAAGCCACAGGACATACTCAGTTTAGGGCCACTGTCACACCTCGTCGTCAAAGATTAAATGAAATAAATAATTAATCAAAAGAAATGATGACAGAGATGAAACTATTGCAGAACTGTTTTTATGTAGCTGTAGTTAGGGAGTTATGTCTATCATAGATGAGAGAGAGCAGACGACTATCCATTAGAGGTGAAATGATTCGTTGATTTTAGCCATTTGTCTTTTAAAAATTAGTCGGGGGCCATTTTCACTATCTCAGCTGTGAGGATTTGTTGTTTTGTGTTGTGATGTTATTTTCATTACTGATTAAATGAGAAAATAATCCGCTGATTAACCGAAAATGAAATCAATTGTTCAAATAAAAGTTTTTAAATCCAGTATAAAATGTACCTTCCTTTTCCACCTCAAGACTTCATTTAAAGCCCGTCCTCACAACTACAGTAATACAAGTACACAAGCACATTAGCTCTTGTAAACACAAATACACTAACCTGTGTGTGCACACAGACATCAATAGACACACAGTGACTTACAGTTCTAGACATACAACATATACATGTCAGTAGGGTTAGCGATACAGACCTGACTTAAGCACAGGGTTTCCAGAGAGCAGCACTTTGAGAAAAAGAGAGTTTCTCAGTCCCATAGCATAGCAAAGCAAGAAGCACAACACACACACACCTCTAAGAGCACACGCACACAAAAGCTACAGGGATACACAATTCGACACACAGCAACCCGGCGAGTGGATACAAGGAAAAGGAAAAGCCAGAAACAAGACGTCAGTCGGAAAGACGAGGAGACCACAAAGAAGACACAGTAAAGAAACAAAGAGAGGAAAGGAAGGAATAGAATAGAATAGAATCCTTTATTGTCCCCAAGGGGCCACAAAAAGTTGTAGTAGCATCCACAAAATATAGGACAGACATCATACAAAGGTGACGAGAGAAGAAGAATAACAATATACAATATCCACAGTGTTCGGTAGCAAGAGGGCAAATATACAAGATTACAGTACAGCGGTGGGAGGTGTGTGTGTGTGTGCATGTGTGTACGTGTGACTGTATGTGATGGAAGGGCCGGGGCAAGAGGAGATGGATAGAGGGGGGGATTTCTAAATTACAGGGTTTGTACAACAAAGAGTCCTGAAAGCAGGAGGGAGAAAAGGAGGAGGAGGAGGGAGAAGGCTCTACCTCTGTCAGCCGTGTTGTCAATTGCTGGAAAAGAGGAAAACAAAAAGAAGAAAAGGTTTAGGTTAGGTAAAGGTTGCAGGTAAGCTTTGTGTGTAAAGTAGTTTCTAAGGTACTAAAGTGATTTAGTAAAACCTTGCTTGAAGTACAAGCAGTTTTACTGAATCACATTTTTAGGACACACAACAAAAACACTTTTTGATGTCATAACTCAATCATCAAAAGCTGTGCTGGAGAAAATATGAAGACAAAGGGGATCTTGTAGCATCATCACTACCATCATCTCCTGACACTGACCTCTTGTGAGAGATACCGGCAATTTCTTGCTATCAGTTCCAAACTCGTTGGTGACCTCGCAGGTCACCCCGTTCTTCATGACCTCGGCTGTGGCTTTCAGGGTCACGGTGCTCACCAACTTGTTACCCTCCACTGATACCGACTGGCAAGGGCAAAGGAATGGGAGAAGAGAGAGATGGAGGAAAGAGGACAAGGAAAAGACATGAATTCTTACATATTCCCCTCATCATTTCTCACCTGTAGTTTAATTTTGTGGCATATTTTCCTGATGCATTTGCACTCCTCCCAACCCTATCCTCCTGTGCACAGTGTAGTGAGGTTTTATTCAATTTTTCTTCCTATTATTCTCATTTATACAAGAAAATGCTCTTAAAAAACTGTTCAAGGTGCAATTTTAAATATCTATCATAAACATATCTCTATTTGCCTCTGAAATTATCCAAATTTTCAGAAGAACTTTATTTTCTACAATATTTCACTCATGGAACTGTATTCTCTCTGTAAACTTCTTTAAAGCTGCTTCGTATGGGATTTTCTTTTCAACCATATCATATCAATATGATAAAAATAAAAAAAAATATTACTTATTGCCCTGTGAGCTGTTTCTCGCTCTCCCTTTTCCATTGCTTTTGAAGTTCAACATTTGCCAGTTTTCCAAGAAGAAGATCTTAAGATGTTATGAAAAATAAATCATGCTTCAAACTTCACATCTTGACCCAAATGAAAACACTAATAGTCATAGCTCAGTTTGTTTGAAGTACAGCTTCACCTCTGCTGCTAGTTTTATGTGCACAATTTCTTTCAGGAAAGTAGCAATGACATCTGTTTACTAAGTGCTCCTTTTAAGTTGCACACTCGGAAAGAGGTTATTTTTGTCTCTGCTGGTCTTGGCTCTGTTTTCCCACATGTACCTCTTTTCCTGCAGGATTCCATGTGAACTGAGGGGCAGGGGAGCCGTAGGCCGAGCACTTCAGAGTCACCATGTCGTCTTCCTTCCCCACCTCTGTAGGAACCGGAGTCTCAATCATCGGCTTTCCTGGAGAGGGAGTGGATTTTTTTTTATTTTTATAAACAGTGCAGTACACACATACACACACACACACACACACACACACTAATCCGGTTACATCCCGTATGGAATGATAATCAAAAGACTAGTAAGTCACACTACCTCCCAGCTGCTTCCGCGAACTATACTCCTCTGATTAAATCTCTTGTTAATGATTACTCTGTTTACAATAGAGTCTGAAATCCTCATAAGCAGTAGGCTTGAAAGTTGCAGTCAGTGGCTAGCTGGGTTGTGTGTGTGTGTGTGTGTGTGTGTGTGTGTGTGTGTGTGTCAGACACAACACTAATATGATTGAAATCTTAACTTAATCTCACCTAAACACTGTTTTAGTGGTTTGTGTGTGTCTATGTATATGTCTACATGAGAGTGTGTGTTACCTTTGACAGTGAGGCTGACAGTAGCCTCGGCTGTCAGTCCTGGCACAGATGGAACGGCTCCAATACACATGTACTCTCCAGCTTTATCATAGGAAACATCTTGTATTGACAGAGTGCCATCCTGAGAGAGGACCTCAGAGCCCTGGAGGAACACAAACACACAGAAATAAAACCAGCTGGACCCACAGTATTATTCTCTGTGTGTTGAATATGAGAGTAGAACAGCACTGTGAATATCTCATTTTGAAGGCACGCTGCTATGCTGGGAAAGCAGAAAAAAAAAAAAAAACCTCCACACACACAAGTTCTTCCAAAGTGCAGTGATAATGGATCAAAGCAAGTCCTCCATGATGAACCTGTCTCTTATGATCCATCTCAACTTCTTCTCATAGGAATCCTCTTTTTTCTAAGAACAAACACGTTGCCTTCCCAGAAAACCGGCTGTTGGTGAGTTTCTCTCACACCCAGGAGACACAACAGATAGACAGGCTACAACAACAAGCCTGACACTGGAGGAACATTTTGCACATAACAAATGGAGGGGCAGGGATGAAAACCAAAATACTGATGGTATCATGTTGATTTGTGCTTTTACAGGTTTTGTTCTTTGGTATGTTTACTGTAGGAAATTGAGACAATGGGTTAGGGGTGCTTTTCATTGCCTGGTGCACACAGAATATGCAAACTCAAATAGTTTCAAATATCTATTACCCAAACCAGCCGTTGCCAGTCCAGAAAGTTTACACTTGAACTCAGACAGTTTTAAAAGTGAAGTCGCATGAGATGAAGTTTTTCCTGCTACTGCAAAACTGAAAATATACAAAAAATATTCTGCTCTCGCATATTTCCAACAGCGGTTCAGGTCTAATCTATTTTAGACTGACCAAATTTAGGATTTATGGTTATAGGCTGAATTACATGAAATGTCATTAGAGACATACAGCATGTGTTGGTGTTGCTTTTTTCTCATTCACCAAATAGAGCACACGCCAGTGTCTACTCTCCAGCTGCTGCAACTGGACATAACACAATGCAGCCAGTGTAGCAGGGCCACAACTGTCTTTAAAGGGAGCCCTGCTTAAGACCTACAGGCTCCAGTGTTGAGTGGCAGCTGCACATAAAGTTAGTTCTGTGTCACATTTCAAAGGGCTGAATTTTTGTCCAACTCTTATCTAGGAATGCTCAGAACAATTTCTGTGAACTGCTGAGGAAAAGAGCAAAGTTTTGCATTTCTTTCTTAGAAATATACCACTTTTCCACGAAAGAGACAGGAGAAGAGAAGGAAGGCTGAGAAAGTGATGCAGCACACCTTTTTCCACTGAACAGTGTGCTGAGTGGAGGCCTTGGTCTTACACTGCCATTCCACCTTGTCTCCAAGCATGACGACTTGAGGTTCGGCAGGGATCACGTTCACCGGGTCGATGTCTGACGCAGACAAAATGAAAAACAATTGAGAGAAAGGGATGAAGACACACAAAACCTACGGCCTTATATACATTCTGAGGGGTTAAAGAAGTGCCACTTAAAATCAAAAAGCTTCTCATTGCTTAAACAACCATGTAATATTCTGCTTAGTACGACCGTACTAAGCAGAATATTACATTTTTTTTGTAAGTACAAAGCTAATGCACTTACTCTGAAGTTAAGCCCATTTTGAAGCCCAAGTTAAGCCTCTTCCATGCTATTTCTAGGCTATCTCCACTTAATGTGTGTGATAAGATCAAATTAGGTAGTGTGGTTGGGATAACATTAAAGTACCAGATGAACTGTGAAAAATTGAATTGGATAACGGCCAGCTGAAAGGATTCCATTAAAGCTCATTCTGTTTCAACCCTTTTAATTCTATGATTTACTGACGAAAAGAGCGGCTTTACCGCGGGGGCTAACCTGCGCAAACAGGAGACAAATTGTTCTTTATCTGTTTTTTTACTTAATTCTGCAGTTTGTGCGTGCGTCTCTGGCTCACTCACAGTGGACATTGAGGTTGATTGTTCCGCTCAGGTCAGCGTCCAAGTTATCGAAATCTGTGGCGGTGCATTTGTACACACCGGTGTCCGTGCGCTTGACAGATTTCAGCGTCAGGAGACCACCCTGACCACTGATCATTTTTCCCTGGAGGTTGAAGGACAGGGATCGGAAGAGAGACACATGAGTAAAGACTGAGTGAGTCATTTTTATAAATAAGTTGGGATACACATGTTGTTCTAAACAAAAAAACCCAACAAACTTGAAATGCACACGTACGTCTTTAGTGAAGTCAAACTCAGGCTGTGGGTTTCCATCAGTCTCACACTTCATAGTGACAGTATCGCCCTCTTTGACTTGATCGGTGTTGAGAAGGGAAAATGTCGCTTCCTCAGATGGATCTAGATGGACAAGGACAGACATGGAACAGGTGAACATTCCTCTTTTGGATACATTTACACTGTTACACTGTATATCATCAATCACAGATGTGCAATGCATTCCACAACGGATGTTTTACTTTCGCGGTACCTCCCCTTTCCTTTCCTCGTTATTCTTCTTCAGCTGACAATCAAACTCCACCGTAGCTGCATTAAACTACTGTGTTTAGCAACCAATGAAATGGGCCCAGGAAGTGAATGATGTATTATTTTATAAAGGGTTGCGATTATTTTCATTATTAATAATTTGAATAATCTTTGCATTTTTTTCTTGATTAATTGATTAATCGTTCCGTCTATAAAATGTCAAAATAGTGAAAAATATCCTGACATTTGAAAAACTGGAAGCAGCAAATGTTTGACACTTTTGCCTGATTAATTGATTAATCATTCTATATTTCTTAAAACAGTAGGTAAAATTGTGATGGCAGACAGGAAGAGGCTTTCAGATGCATACTGTTTAGATGGTGGCAAACTGGTCTGGTTTGTTATTGCAACTTCAAATAAACTAACTTGCCACAAAACTCCACAGACCCCCTTCAGTTCCTCCACAGAAGCTAATGTTGAAGACCTTTGTCATAGATTCACTGAATGTTTAACACCCCAAGCCACCAATTCTGCTCCCATCCCTCCTCTCCACTCACAGTTGAGGTTGATGGTGATGGTGTCAGACTTCTTCTGTTTGATCTGGTCGCCTGGCATGCTGTACTCCACAGTGCACTGGAACACAGAGTCCTTGTCGGCCTTGGTGGGCTGCATGTACAGGGTGCTCGTGATAGTGTAGAGACCCGAGGCCTCCTTCACCACAGAGGGAATCATGTAGGTCTCTGGCAAAGAGGAGGGTTGGAGGAGGGAAAAACAAGATGAATTCCTTTACTCTGCACAGCAAATGAGATAAGACTACATTTTTGTTTGTCAGTCAAATGACGCTTACGCTCTTTCCTGTCTTTGACTTCAGGTAGCGGCTGTTCATCTTTGAACCAGATAATTCTTGGCTGGGGATGTCCATTCATTGTCACACAGGTGCCAATCTTAATGCACATGGACAAAATGCAGGAAGGGCAAAAGATAAGTGACAGATAATGTGCATCTTCATTGTTTATACAACTGCAGGGAATATGCAAACACACATGCACGAACTGCAACACCCACCTCGGAGCTGGTGGTCTCTCCCACAGAAATAGCCTGACTCGATGGTCTTGTGAGTTCTGGCTTCTCGGGAGCAACTGAGACAGACAATGGGAGGGGAAGAAATCATTATTATATCATTATGATTCATGAGAGGAAAAAAACCTTTAACCTTTAAGATACAGGCACGCACACACACTGACACACACTGCACTTTCTTATATGCAGTACAACTCACATGCTTGCTGACCTTGTTAATTAAGTCGAGCAGTAAATATCCTGCCACACCTTACTCCACTGTGACCTGCTTCACATGAGCTGATAAGGGTCAAACCCAAAAAAAAAACCCACAAAAAAAAACCACACTCCCTCCCTTTCTCTGGATCCCCCACACAACCGCCAGTTCCCTCTTATTCCTCTGCTTTATTCCCTACCTCACTTGTCCACATGCAAGGTCATCTTATCACTGCCTGCAGCTGTTGACTTCTTATAAAAATAAACAGTAGATGGGTATTTCACTCTCTGTCTCACTCAATCAATTCTTTGTTTTCATTTTTTTGTAACACTGCTCCCAAAACGGCTGTAGTTAGCTTGTATTCTTTTCTTTTTTTTTTTTTAAACCTTTCCCTTCCCACATACTGTGCAGTGCAGGCTGCAGTATGTAAGCACAGTCAGTTAAAAGAACAGTGAGGTTTCTGCACCTTAGACAAACGTGAAGACGACAAACCTCAGTCTCTTACATTATAACCTGAATAAGTTAGCTATCTTTTCATTGATATCTTTAAAATTTTTAGAGAGTTAAGACAGCAAAGCACAGTGGAAGTAGGATCGTTTTTATTCTGTTCAAGTGTGCTTTTGCCCGGCAGGCATACTGTTTACTCTGTACTGTAAGCCTCCAGAGAGAGAGAGGGAGGGAGAGAGAGCGAGAGAGAGAGAGAGAGAAGCCAGGCTATCACTGCTGTAGCTCAACCCTCAGGAGAGCTCATAACTCAGTCCTATTAAGTTAAGGCAGGACAGACACGCTGTAATTCATCCTCCAATGAGTCAAGTGTTCGAATGTGGACAGAGAATAATTGCTAGTTTGTGAGATAGGCTCTTTTCTTACAACTGTGGGCATTAAGTGCATCTAAAAAGGCCTTTGTCAAAAAGCACTTCATTGAGGTAATGTCAAACACTGACTCATTCACAATTAATAGCTTATTTTATGAGATGGCTTTGAGCCTCAATGCCTCTGAGTGCATAAATGTTAATGGTTAACTTGTAGCATCTTAACTAAAGAAAAGGTTGTTTTGCTGTTCCCGCAACACAAATTCTCCCTCTTTAGGGTGATTGATCGGTCCAATCCGAAATGCAAATGAATCCCACTCATTTTGGTGCGACCCGCTAAATGCTAAAAGTATGATTTATGTCAGTTTAGGGTTTGCTATGGGAACGGCAAGGACACAGGGAGCTGCACCAGGGTCAGCCGTCAACGCCTTGGTGATAAATCTGGACTGTTATTAAGGTGAGATATATGAGACATGACAGGTGTGATTGAACTATTCATCAATTGTGTCAAGAGTGATTAGATTGTGGTTAATTGACCTCTGGGGAACTTATCAAAGGAAATTGGTAACACAGCATTGGCAAAAGCTTCACATGATTAAAAAAAGTGTTAGCTAAAGTCTACTCTATTCTTCACAGATGTAGACAATTGTGACAAATCATACTTTATGATTGTGTATTTAAATTAAAAGGTTTTGCATGGAGCTACTTTCAGCATGTGTGAAATGCAATAAGCAAAATGCATCACATGCATTAGGTACAATTAAGTCACTCCTAAATCAAAGTATGCATGAACACACACGCAGATCTGATTAAAGCCATAAACCTTCAGTGGCACTGACAAACCAAGTCATAAATTCCACACATCAACAGGTGATGGGAAAGTGTGTGTGTCCGGAGGGGGTGGGGGTCTCTTTGCAAAGGTCATGTGGGTCATGTTGAGGTCATATTAAAAAGCCAAAGTGCACTGGCCGACTCACAGAAGACTTTAAGCATAGTGGCAGCTTCTGCGACCCCAGCGAGGCCGGTGTTGACTTGGCAGTAGAAGGTAAGCTCGTCGGAGGGCTGAGTGGAGGAGATGGTCAAGGTGTAGTCCTCTTCGATAGCGACCCTGCCAGTGAGAGGGGTGTTCTCGTCACTTCCATCTCCACCCTGGGAGCGGAAAGCCACGCGCCTCCTGGTTCCCTGCTCCTCCTACATCGTCAGACAGAGAGAAAAGAAGAAAAAAATGACCTTAAGTCAAACCTAAAAGTCCAACTTTTGAAAGGATCTTCCTTTTTTCATGAATTGGACATGAAAATCTACCAACACAAACTTTTTTTCCTTGTCTATTAATGTTCAAATTTGGAATAAAATGAATACTTGGAAATTACTTACAAAGTACCATTCAACAATAGGGTTGCTTGCTGATGATGAAACAGTAAAAGTGCAGGGCAGTTTGGCAGTCTCTCCTTTTAACACCTCCACTTTAGGAGCCACCTTCACATTCAGAGCCTCACTGCATACTGTAGAGAAAAACACACAGCGAGAAAAAATATGATAAAGGACTCCACAGCAGAGGGATCTGCTAACAATAAAGATTTTAAGAACTTATACAAGTATTTAATTTCAAATCACATCAAGTCACTTTTATTTATACAGCAACACAATCACAAGTCTATGTAAACATAGGAAATGCTCCAATGTTAGACCCTCCATTCAGACAATATACCCTGCATATATATATATAGAGGCTGACAGCACAACATGAAGAACTTTGGTGAATCCCCACTTTATTACAAAACCTTATGACCTCAGAGACAGTAACATCGAATGGTTTAATTGACGGTACTGCTTTATGACATGTATTAGAAAAGTATAGCATGGTACATATGGTGTTGTTCACATTTGTGATGACAGTAAACTTCAGATCTGTACAGTGCCTCTTGAAGAAAGACAGGAGGAAATGAGGAGACACAGAGGGAAGAAGGAAAGACAAATAATAAAAACCACAATGACTACAACTTTGTGTCCATGTTATTAGATTGAAAGTCTGTGTGTTTGTTTGATACCCTCAGGGCTTCCAAGTGTTCAAACAGTGTTACGAGAACTAGGGACAGCTGCATGGCGCCCATGAGGGACTTTATCAGCGCTGCAGCACGCCTTTTCCTGCAATGCCTTGGGCAGTTCGCACTCATCACTCGCCGTGCACGCATCACATACACCAGCAGAAAGGAGAGGCTGAGGTCTGTGATTACCCCACGCTTTTAGGCGTAGCGCCTCCCCCGCTGGAAACACATGTACACAGACAAACATTCATGCATGCAATGTACGCCCACACAGACACACACACACACACACATTGCAGTAAACAGATACACAGTTGTAAGGCTCCAGGAGATGACAACTGACACCGGGGCGAAGCCAGAGGGTCGGACCACACATGCATAGACATACGCAGGCTTGTGCTGTATCTCATCCTTAACACAGAAACACACAAATCCTCCACAGGAAAAATCTTCAGTGGAAAGTACATGTGTAATCCTAGCATATTAAAGGAATATTTTACCTTAAATTTAACAGATTGGCTTGACAACAATTACAATATTTCCGATGAGAACAGAAAGTCAAGGCAAAAAATATATATCAAAACTTCCACAGGAACTTATCAAACCACTCCTGCAGCATAATTCGCTTTTGTTAAATATAGTCTGAACACATAGCCAAATACCTAAATAGCTAAATACACTACTTTCATCTCGTGTTACTGCCTATGCGTTGCTTTAAAGTGCTGCCTGTGGTTCTTTTTGTGATTTGTAGGCAAAACAAGGTACAACAACATATAGTAAGGAACATTTAGATCAATGGCAGAGATGTGGATTCTGCTGCAGAAGTAGCTTTGGGAAGTTTCTATAGATGTTTTCATGCATGTTTTTTGTCAAGACTCTGCCTTCATTGGAAGCTTTTGTAATTGCAGTGAATCCAAACAGACTACAGCATCTTTTCTCTGCAAAGGTAACAAGCTACTCCCTTAAAGGTGTATGCACAGCAGTAAAAACTTTTAAGGGATCCCTGAGGGAAGCTAGAAGGCCCTTGTGACTGACACTGTCTGTGTTCTCCATTGAATAGAGACATTAGGATGCACACAGTGTCCTAGATCTCAATGGGAGAGTGTGCGGCTAGAGCACAACAACTCAAACTGGTTCCTCTTGGGATAGGGAGCATTGTAGCTCTCTAAACTCTAGCTATGGAGAAACAACGTGACATCGAGATTATATTGGAGGAGGACGAGAGGCGGGGAATGATGCAGGGGAAGGATGGAGAGCTGGAAGAAGGGAAGGAGCTCCATTTCTGCTAATGAGGGCACTGCGGCACATACAGTGTCATAAATCGTAAGGCGCAGTGATACATGAAAGCAAGGGAGGTCACTGTGTTGTGAGGGTGAGGCTCTGGAAACAAAGGACAACAGCAAAGAAAGGACAATGTTGTTTAAGTGACTTGGGTTACACTGCCAAACCAATTTTACTAAATCAAGTCATCAACATATGGAAGCCAAATTTCACAGTCTAATTTGGCAGGCTTGTATGAAACGCAGTGCTTGACAGGCATACTTAGATAGAATTAACTGATATGCCAGTAAAGAAAAAACACACAGGTTTATGGGAGTTGAGGCATATCTACAGCACTTTCACAGAAAAAGAAAATGTTTGTATAATGTGAATAAGCAAAGTACACAGCCTCTCTCACAACATTCCCAGAAATCCCTCTACACTGCAAACATAACAGACACTGAGTTAAGTAGCATTAAAAATCCAGAGACTTACACTCAAATTAATATTCATAATATTGAACATACATGTTGTTAATGACCAACCCAGCCCCAAACCCTGTGTGGTAACATAAATTAATCATGTCATCAATTTCTGGACAACAAAATCTAGACTTGAATAATTTATTTCTTGAGAAACTGCCAAGAGCGGGGAGGGCGGACTTCTGGGAATCATAGTTGTTTGACAGGCTAGTTTTAATAACAGAGCAAAAAAAAATGCAGACAGGGATGATGAAAGAGTGTTTGCTCAAAGTGTCTAAAGAGAGATGAGAGAAGCTGAGGGATGGCCGGCTTGTTATCACTCTACTGTGAGAAAGAGCGGGAACGAGGGATGGAGGGAAAAGAAGACAGAGAGAGAGGGAGAGTAAGTATAGGAGGAGATAATAAGGGGAACTGTCAAAAATACACACACTGGTGGTTTGGTGGTTTTGTGTGTGTGTGTTAGTGAGAGACATTCCATCAGGGGCAGATGCTATGATTCTCCATGACCCACAAACCACATAGAGGTCAAGGGTCAGTCAAGCGTTGACATTTGATGAAAAGATCTCATGTCTTTCTCTGTTTTAATTCTCTCACTTCCTCTTCATCATCCACTTCCCTTCACTCTATTTTTATCCTCCCTCTTATTTTCCTATCTACTTGTTATCTCCATCTCTATCCAGCATCCCACCCTCATTAAATATTTTCTTCTACTTGCTCAGTAGCTCTCACATGAACCAACATTAGTTTTACAAACCAAGTCTCATGTTCCGAGTTTGTAAGAGGGATGTAGCCCAAAAGAAAATCTTCCTCTGTTTCTGCGCCAACACAAACAGCGAGCCAGACAAGCAAACACACAAGAATGTGTGAGTAAACCAAGTGCTGTGCTTTTAGGCAGCACTCAGGATTTAAGAGTCTTGTTAAGTGGCGCATGGGAAAAATACACACTCACACACATACCACATTAAATCAAGTGACTAACTGACACACACATACAGACCCCTAATCTTACTCTGGTTACTCAAGTTATTTGGCTCTTGAAAAACACCTGTAAACTCTGGATTTTTGGGGTAAGCTTGTAGAATAGTTGTGAGAAATCTAGTTGAGAGTTACTAATAAAAAAAAAATGGATCCATCATATGCCATTAATGGTAAATTAAGTCTAACCAAAAGGATCCGAGATTAATAAACCACAGCATGTTTTTGGGGGACATAAGTTTTTTATTTGTAAAGAGTTGTCAACACTAATCAAAATAATTGGTTTCTACACTAGGCTGAGCAAAAGCAAGTGACAGGAAAATTAGGACATCCCTATAAGCCTCAGCTCTACTTTGTGTTTAGTGCTAATTAGCAAATGTTAGCACGCTGACCCGGAGATGGTCAGGCTCACAGTGCCACTAGAGGCTGCAGAGTCTTACTATATGAAAAACTGAATTATAAATTAAATGCAGCTGATGAAGCCATATTTATTTGTATTTCAGTGATTAATTATGTATTCATGTGTTGTCTACTAACTTTTAGCTGTGCAAGTCACATGATACTGATTACATTCATTTCCTGTGGAAAAATAGAAACATCTGTATGTTGTACTTGTATCATTATTTTGGCATAATGGAACATAATCAAAATTGCCGAACACTCACTTTTAGAAATGCTACAAGCCCTAATTTTGTCGTTCATGGGATAATAATAGTCACCTGATATCAGTCATGATATTCTGTGTCAAAGTGCTGGTGTCATAACATATACTTATTTTTACTTTTAACTGGGGTTTGGTGCATGTAAATGCCTGCATGTGAACTGAACTAGCCAGTTTAAAGCAATGATATGGTCTTTCTGTCTTTGCCAGCCTCTTCCTCCTCTTCTTCCCTTCCTTATCACTCATTTCTGTCTTTTTTTTCTTTCACATGCATCTTTTGGTGCCATTCGCAATATGTTTTGGTCCAGGGTGATCAATCAGGCCGCGGCTGTGTTTTACACACAAGGCAGCTGGACAGACAGAGACAGGCAATTAAAACATAATTAGGGAGTGCTCTGTTCAATCCAAGCAGTGTGATTGTGTGTGTGTGTGTGTGTGTGTGTGTGTGTGTGTGTGTGTGTGTGTGTGTGTGTGTGTGTGTGTGTGTGTGTGTGTGTGTGTGAGTGTGTGTGTGCAAGAGTGATTGTGTATTCAGAGACACAGGCTGTTGGCTGTCACTGTGTGTGTGTGCAAGAGTGTTTGTGTATTTTGAGACACAGGCTGTTGGCTGTCATTGTGTGTGTGTGTGTGTGTGTGTGTGTGTGTGTGTGTGTGTGTGTGTGTGTGTGTGTGTGAGAGAGAGATTGAGAGAAAGAGAAAGAAAGAAAGAGAGTGGTGGGGGCTGTTGGACAAGGGTGCTAGCTACATGGGGGTCTCGTTAGCTGACGCAGGCCAGCTAATCGGATTTAGCCAAAGAGAGGGAAAGTGTGTGTGAGGTGGTGTGTGATGGGGTGCGTGACCGGGTAGAAAGACAGATGGGAACGAGACGGTCAGACTGTGACCTGTATATACACACACACACACACACACACACACACACACACACACACATACAGTATATCTATAATGCATGTGATATTTATGAGCAACCGAACCACCCCAAAAAGCTACAGTTAAGTAGAGTGTGTGTAGAAAAAATAAAAGATCCAAGTCTGCAGTCAAAGCAGCGTGTCAGAGTGGAGGACATCCACATCTACTGA